GGGAGGTTGTTATCTGTCCTCTGCTATCTGCTTATTGGAACATCAGGAATAGAAGCTCTGTCATATCTCTGGGTTCCTTCCTGCCTTGTTTTACTCCTGATGTGAACTCCCCCAGTCTCTATAACTGTTTCTTTTGTTTTATTTTAAATGGAATTGCTGTGGATCCATTTCCCATGTTTCAGAGATAAGCCAATCAATTCTAATTAAAAGCACAAACAAAGTCAGTTCCCTGGGGGGGGAGCATTGATGATTTAATGTGCCCTGTACAACACAGCTCAACTGCCCCTAATGAGTGTGCTTTGCACCAATCTTTTTTTCTTCTTCTCAGCAGTAAAGGAGCTTTTTACTCAACTTTTCCCTTTCTCTCCTTTTCTCTGTCTTTCTCTTGGTATTCAAAGTCAGGGCCAGGAGTGTTCAGGAACTGGAATGACAGCCCCAGGGTTCAGAATATTTTTTTCCCTGTTTTCCTCCTCTAAAAACTAGGTGCGTCTTATGGTCAGGTGCGTCTTATAGTCCGAAAAATACGGTATATTCATTTTTAATTGCACGCACCGTCACTGCCCGGTATAGACATCTTCTGGCTTGGCTCCGTTGTTTTCCACACGGTTGCGTGTTGGCCAGGCTTCAGGACCCGTATGTCAATCGCCACACTGCCACCGCCTGGCCAGAACATCCATTGCAGGGATTCTTTCGTAGCCGAGAAGCTATTTCGCCTTCCAAGCCTCGACCAGGACGTCCGACCGTCAGCTAACACCCTCCCACAAGGGAGATTGGCGTGCCCACCCTCTCTAAGGAGTGGTTCCCATTTTATCTACTCGCCGAAGCTTTCAAATCGCTGGGTGGACGATGAGCTGGGGACAACAGGCTGGCTGCTCACACCAGCGTAGGGCTTGAACCAACACAGTTCAGATGTTAAGACAGTGGGATATACCCACTCTGTTAATTGTCATGCCGCTCTTGTGACGTTGTAGAATGCAGGGCGAGTGAATTGAGGGGAGAACACGAGAATGAGGACAAAACTCATTTGACGATGTTGTTGTCATGCAAAAGAATGGAGCGGAAGGCGAAAAGGAAGACAAGAAGAAAGCGGATAGCCCAGGCAAGCCCAGTCTCGTCAGATCTTGGAAGCTAAGCAGGGCCGACCCTGGGAAGGACTTGGAAGGGAGACCTCCAAGGGATACCAGGGCTGGGACGCAGAGGCAGGCAACAGCAAGCCGCCTCTCTGAAACATCCAAGCCCCACTTGGGGTCACCAGAGGTCAACCATGACTTCCAGGCATGCACACAGACACACAGACAAAATACCCACCCAAAAAGAAGAAAGCGGTTAAATGGGATTTTGGGAAGCAGAGAGAAAGTGGGTGCAGAAATAGATGGATTGAAGGAGCTTTCTGAGTTAGAAGCTGCTGGTGGGAAACAACTACCATCTCGCGACCGGTGGTGGTTTGGCATTGCGGTTGTGCATGTGTGTTTGTTTGTTGGATTTTTATCCTCCCCACCCCGCTTTTTAATGAGCTCAGGGCAGCATACAGAGTTTCCTTTCCCGTGTGTTACCTTCACCACAACCCTCTGTGGTAGGCTAGGCTGTGAGAGAGTAAGTTAGGCCGGAGCTCACCCAGCACGTTTCGTGGAAGGACAGAGATCAGAACTAGCCTAGCCCTTTGACCGTTAGACGACACTGGCTGCCCCTAGTGTATCACCATAAGTAAAGGTAAAGGTTCCCTTGCTCGAAAGCCAGTCGAGTCCGACTCTAGGGTTGCGGTGCTCATCTCTGTTTCAAAGCCGAAGAGCCAGCGCTGTCCGAAGAAGTTTCCGTGGCCATGTGGCTGGCATGACTAAACACCAAGGCGCACGGAATGCTGTGACCTTCCCACCGAAGTGGTCCCTATTTCCCTACTTGAAATTTCTTGCTTTCGAACTGCTAGGTTGGCAGGAGCTGGAACTAGAGACGGGAGCTCGCTCCGTCGTGCAGCACCCAGGTCTCGAACTGCTGAACTACCGACCTTCCACAGCCTGCAGTTCAGCGTCTTAACCACTTGAGCCACTGCAGCTCCTTATATTACCGTAGTAGGGCGGAAATACCAACCAAGCACCCTTCGCTGGTTCTTGTCTTTAGCCAGGCTTCAGCTGTCAGGAAGAAATAATAACTGAGTGCCGTCAAGTCGAAACTGACCTATGGGGACCCTTCATGGGGTTTTTGAGGCAACAGATAAGCACAGTTTGCATTGCGCCTCCAGCCTCCAGCCTTGGTCTCCCGTCCAAGTACTAACCAGGACCGACCCTGCTGAGCTTCCACGCTTTGATGAGCTCAGGCTCGTCCAGGCTATTTATGTGGCTCCGAGAGGAAAGGCAAGGTATAAATGTTTTAATTAGTAAATAAATAATTTAATTTGTCTCTTTGCATCTGTAACTGAGGACTGCAGGGAACACGTAGGATTCTCTGGATGGCACAAACTGGGCATCAGTTGGTTCTCAAGTTCTCATTATTCTCAGATAAATTATTTTATCATTAAAGGTAAAGGTTCCCTTGCACGAAAGCCAGTCGAGTCCGACTCTAGGGTTGCGGTGCCCATCTCCGTTTCAAAGACGAAGAGCCAGCGCTGTCCGAAGACGTCTCCGTGGTCATGTGGCCGGCATGACCAGAGGTCATTTCGGGGGGGGATCGCGGGGGATCGCAGTTCCCCCGGGTGAGGTGCGGGGGCGAGGCACATGTCGAAGCCCCGCCCCCCGCTTCCGGCCGCCCAGCTTCCGGCCCTCATTCAGCCAGGAGGAGGCAGGAGAAGAGGGAGGGTAAGTTGCTTCCTCCCTGCCTCTCCCCACCCCTGCCTGCCTGGGCCAGGGAGGGCCTTCGCGGGGCTTCCTTGCACTCCCGCCGGCCTTGCAGGTCCACCGCCGGGCCCCTCATGGGGCTCAGCAGTGGAGCTGCAAGGCCAGCACCGGCGGCCGGGACCTTTAGGGGCGGGGTGTGTGGCCTTATGACACATTTCCGGTAATGTCAGGGGGTGTGGCCTTATGACACACTTCCGGTGATGTCAGGGGGTGTGGCGTATGCTAATGAGTTATGCTAATG